TCCTTCAATCGGCACCCGCCGACCCACGCCATCCGCTGCCGCACCGCCAGCCACCACGCGCCAGTCAGCGCCGCCTGACGAAACGAACCAGCCAGCGCATCGCGCCGACACGGGCCAACAGGCGCGATCCCTTGTCGCGCCACCAGCCAGGGAGCCACCCCAACCGACACCACGCCGACCTCCAACCGGCCAGGCCCCACCAGTGCCAGCACCACGCCCGGGACCTCCACGACCCATCCAGGTCACTCTGGGGGACGGCCAAACCGTCGACATACCGTACCACGCCGCCACCATCTCACGGCGGTATAAGGTACGCACCCCGACGGGCCGGTGGATCATCAAATTCGACCGACGAGGGAGACCGCGAACGATCCGTCGAATAGCCACCCCCCCCTAAAGAGGAAGGGTGATGTGACGACCCGATTAGCCGTCACTAGTCGCCCGCGCTCATGTAAACGGCCCCTTTCGGGGCCACCACACGAACACGTTGGGAATCCGCCTTTTCGCCCCCACCCGTCACTCGGCCCCCTCCAAGCTAGTCTTAGAGTGGGGTGGCCGACGGGTATAAAGAGCGGCGCAGCCGAGACTTCGGCACCAGTCCCGTCCTGGTCCCTCGAGCGTACTCAGGGATCACTCCTCAACTCCCACACTCCAAGTCACCCCGGCCGACGAGCGTTCTCGTCGTGCAGGCCGAGCGTCCTCGGTCACCGGGTCCTGTCCGGAAATCACCCCGGCCGACGAGCGTTCTCGTCGTGCAGGCCGAGCGTCCTCGGTCACCGGGTCCTGTCCGTAAATCACCCCGGCCGACGAGCGTTCTCGTCGTGCAGGCCGAGCGTCCTCGGTCACCGGGTCCTGTCCGTAAATCACCCCGGCCGACGAGCGTTCTCGTCGTGCAGGCCGAGCGTCCTCGGTCACCGGGTCCTGTCCGTAAATCACCCCGGCCGACGAGCGTTCTCGTCGTGCAGGCCGAGCGTCCTCGGTCACCGGGTCCTGTCCGTAAATCACCCCGGCCGACGAGCGTTCTCGTCGTGCAGGCCGAGCGTCCTCGGTCACCGGGTCCTGTCCGTAAATCACCCCGGCCGACGAGCGTTCTCGTCGTGCAGGCCGAGCGTCCTCGGTCACCGGGTCCTGTCCGTAAATCACCCCGGCCGACGAGCGTTCTCGTCGTGCAGGCCGAGCGTCCTCGGTCACCGGGTCCTGTCCGGAAATTACTCCGGCCGACGAGCGTTCTCGTCGTGCAGGCCGAGCGTCCTCGGTCACCGGGTCCTGTCCGTAAATCACCCGGCCGACGAGCGTTCTCGTCGTGCAGGCCGAGCGTCCTCGGTCACCGGGGTCCGTAAATCACCCCGGCCGACGAGCGTTCTCGTCGTGCAGGCCGAGCGTCCTCGGTCACCGGGTCCTGTCCGTAAATCACCCGGCCGACGAGCGTTCTCGTCGTGCAGGCCGAGCGTCCTCGGTCACCGGGTCCTGTCCGTAAATCACCCGGCCGACGAGCGTTCTCGTCGTGCAGGCCGAGCGTCCTCGGTCACCGGGTCCTGTCCGTCACCCCGGCCGACGAGCGTTCTCGTCGTGCAGGCCGAGCGTCCTCGGTCACCGGGTCCTGTCCGTAAATCACCCCGGCCGACGGAGCGTGTCTCGTCGTGCAGGCCGAGCGTCCTCGGTCACCGGGTCCTGTCCGTAAATCACCCCGGCCGACGAGCGTTCTCGTCGTGCAGGCCGAGCGTCCTCGGTCACCGGGTCCTGTCCGTAAATCACCCCGGCCGACGAGCGTTCTCGTCGTGCAGGCCGAGCGTCCTCGGTCACCGGGTCCTGTCCGTAAATCACCCCGGCCGACGAGCGTTCTCGTCGTGCAGGCCGAGCGTCCTCGGTCACCGGGTCCTGTCCGTAAATCACCCCGGCCGACGAGCGTTCTCGTCGTCGTGCGAGCGCGTGCGTCCTCGGTCACCGGGTCCTGTCCCCCGGCCGACGAGCGTTCTCGTCGTGCAGGCCGAGCGTCCTCGGTCACCGGGTCCTGTCCGTAAATCACCCCGGCCGACGAGCGTTCTCGTCGTGCAGGCCGAGCGTCCTCGGTCACCGGGTCCTGTCCGTAAATCGAGCGTTCTCGTCGTGCAGGCCGAGCGTTCGGTCACCGTCGTCCGCAGGCCGACGAGCGTTCTCGTCGTCACGAGCGTCCTCGGTCGGGTCTACCTGAAAGTCACCGGCGCCTGACGGAGCTCGCCCTTCTCAGGGCGCCCGTACGCGTGTCCGCGTTGGAAACTTTAGCAATAAGTCGTGTCTGCGTCCGTATAATCTGGTCGCGTCTCGTCCGTAATATTTCTATCCGTCAATCCTAGCAATAAGTCGTGTCCGCGTCCGTATCATCTGGTCGCGTTTCGTCCGATTATACTGTGCTGTGTATAATGGTTTGAATCACGGGAGAACCACAGGAAGGTGGCCCCGAATAAACTCTACTTTTACCAGAGCAACCGTGTGTCATTGTAAATCTGAGTCTCCCCTCTTCCCGAATCCTGGCACCGGCGAGCCGATCCGTGGCGTCGGGAAAGGTGCTTCGTTACAATGTACTACACGTACACGCGTACCAATCTCAATTGATACTTGTCAAATGATGTCTATTGAATTTTACGAATCAGCTGATATTGAGTTTTTCTACACAATTGAATTTATCATTACTTAAATACATGAGTACTACATATTTTATTGAGATCAATTAATATTAAAATATTAATTGTTATAATATTATAGTAAATTATAATTCTTATAATAATAATAATAATAATTTAAAATAATAAATAATTAAATATTTCATTAAAAGAATTATAATTTCTTGTAATAATAATATTTATAATAATAATAATAATAATAATAATTTAAAATAATAAAGAGTTAAATATTTCAATAAAGAATTATAATTTTACAATAATTAATATTTTAATATTAATTGATCTTGATAGTATACATAATATTCATGCATTTAAGAAATAATAAACTCAGCTATGTAGAAAACTCAATATCAGCTGAGTCGTAAAAATCAATAAGAATAACAATTGACAGATCGATACGCGCGTACATACGTGTAGTATAATATATGTTTCGGGCAAAAGCGCGTTGATTCTAGACGATGTATTTTAAACTATTATATATATACTTAAACCATTACAACCTCGATATTTTTATATTAAAATTTTGTACTCTATTTTATCTCAAGAATATATTATTAAAATATTGAATGGTGGACATCCTTATATAAATATATATTTAAACGCACATATAAATAATATTTATTTTAATAACTTATCCTTTACAGAATTTTAAGATGTTTATATAGTATTAAATTTATATTATTTTTATATTAATCGCTAAAGATTATAGACTTATTATAAACATTATAAATAAAATAAAAGATAAAGATTTGTATTAATATAAAATAGTAAAATAAATATGTAACTTACACGATTAGTTTGAATATAGTTTTCAACCAAATCTATGTTAACATTCCATGCTACAATTTGTATTCTTTTACCATTTCCGTTATTAAGGTAAAATTTAAAAAATTTATATTGTTTGTTGTTACCAACAGATCGTGAAGCTTCAATTCCGTCCACATATCCAATAATTTCTCTATACAGTGAATATATTAGAAAATTTGAAATATATATAAATTTATTATATATATATATATATATATAATAATTATATATAATTATTATATTATTATAAATATTAAATTATACATTTAAAGAATTATATTTTAAATTAATTATATTAATTAATATAATTAATATTGTATGCGCAAACGCGTGAAGGAGAGCGCGTATTTGAAGGCCGAAAAGAATTGATCACCCTTTAAAAATAACACAGAGTTTACTTTAACACAATTTAGACGATACAGTAATTTTACAAAAGTTTCAATAGATAAGCCGAGATCGACTTCAAAGTGCGTGTGCGGTTAATAATTGCGGTAATTTCTAAGCGGTTTGACAGCGGTTGTACGTACTAAGACTCGAGAGACTAGCTGCGCAATTTTTGTGGGCGCTTCCTTTATCGGTGCGGTACTGAAGCCCCACTAATTTTTACTTCACCAATTAATTTCGTTTGTTTAAAAATGTTCGAAGGTGACGCGAGGGCACCTGTCTTTATTGGCCGCCCCGTAATTTACGCGAAACAAGCACGCACCTGACATGCGTGAAACGCTCGATAGCGGGATCGATTGGCTTTCGGAAGCCACGTGATCGAACGGCGCATGTCTATTACATCGATAATCAATACGGTAATCGTTGCTTTCGGTTGAGCAATGTTGTTATTATTGACAGCTTGTTAGGATAATCCTGATTTATCGCCTACTTGTTTATATCGGGCGAGCCCTTTTTTCCGCGGTTTTTTTCGCATATTCATGTAAGAAAATATCGATTTTTAGACTGAAATTATAGACTTAGACAATTATATTAATTTTCTTTTCAATTTCGAACATCCCGCCCGCCTTGTCACTTGCTGACAATAAGTCGCTATGAATTCTCGATTGATAGTGGGGTAGGCGCGCGCCGGCGCGGCGAGATACACGTGATTATCGCGTGGAATGTCGCTCGATCAGCTGAAACGATGAACACGTGTTGACAGCGTGGTGCGATCAGCTGAGAATAGTGAAACGCGTTTTCGATGTGAAATAATGTGCGTGAATGTGAAAAGTGGTTACAGTGCGTATGTGATGTGTAATCAAGTGCATAGTGAATGAACGTGAGCAAAGGTGTGTGAGTGATGTGACGCGTCGTGCATTTCTGTCTATGCGTTGCGTGTTGTTACGTCCGTTGCGAAGTCGGGAAGTAAGACAATTTTTACGAGCGGACGTACGAGCTCGGAGGTCGCGGTTCGAACGGTGACCACGCGTACGATCCCGTCGTCGCCGGGATGCAGTTTTGTGATCCGGGCGAGAGGCCACCGGTTTGGAGGCGAAATCTCGGAGCGCACAAGGCAGAGTGCTCCGATGCGAGGTGTTGTCTCGACCTTCAGCCATTTAGGTCGTGAGGTGAGTCCATGGATGTATTCTCCCGACCATCTCCGCCAAAAGTGGTCTCGCATCGCCTAGAGATGATGCCATCGTGATGCTGCGGATCCACGGTTGTCCTCTGTACTGGCTCCGGGATGGCGAGAAGCGGCGCGCCGATCAGGAAGTGGCCCGGAGTCAGTGCTGTAACATCGTCTGGATCGTCAGAGAGTGCCTGTAATAGACGAGAATTTAAACAGGCCTCAATTTGTGTAAGGAGAGTGGTCAGTTCCTCAAAGGTGAGGGTGGTTTCACCTATCACCCTCCGTAAGTGATACTTAGCGGATTTGACGGCTGCCTCCCACAATCCGCCGAAGTGCGGAGCTGCTGGTGGATTGAAGTGCCACCGTATGCCGTGTTCAGCAGCTACGCGTGCGATTCCACGACCCTCTGTGGATGCAGCGACGAAGAACTCACGTAAAGTGCGGTCAGCCCCGATGAAGGTCGTTCCACAGTCGCTATATATGTCCGTACAGAGACCTCGACGTGAGACAAAGCGACGTAAAGCGGCGATGAAGGCCTCTGAAGAATAATCCGAGACAAGTTCGAGGTGGATGGCTCTGGACCAAAAGCAGATGAATACTGCGATATAGCCCTTATAGGCGCGGTGTCCTCGTCCCTTGCTCGTCCGGATGAGGATGGGTCCTGCATAGTCCACTCCAGTGCGCAGAAATGGCCGAGTCAGAGTGACCCAATCGCGGAGTAGATTACCCATCGGTGGCTGAAGCGTCGTTGCTCGCCATCGTGTGCAGGTGACGCAACGATGTAGTTGTTGTTTTACAACTGTGCGTCCTCGTGGAATCCAGAAGCGCAGTCGAAGCAGCCCCAGGGTGAGTTGCACTTCTCCATGCAGCGTCCGACGGTGACAGGAGTCCATCAGCAGACGAGTCAGCCACGACGAGGTTGGAATGATCATCGGATGCCTCTCATCCTGTGTCAGCAGGGCGTTCTTAAGCCGACCTCCCACTCTCAGAACACCATGGTCGTCGAGGAACGGAGTCAGCTTGGCTAATGTGCTGCTTGGTGCGACGGAGCGTCCAGCTGCGACTGCGGTGATCTCGTCCGTGAAGTGCAGTGTCTGCACTTCTCAAAGCCAACGAAAGAGTGCCATGTCAAGTTCCTCCGGACTCAACGTTAATCCAGCAGTGTGAGTCGGCTCTGAAGCGCGCAGCCAGCGACGGCACCATGCGGATATCCGTAGCAGGCGATGCAGTGATGAGAAGCGGAGCAGGATTTCTGGCTCGACGATGACCCGGTTCACAGTCATCAGGCTCGTGGCTTTCCTTTCTGGCACGTCGTCTCCTCGGATCTCTATCTCGGAATTTGGCCAGGCCGATTCGTTCTGTGATAACCAGGTAGGTCCTGTCCACCATAGAACGTGATTGATCAGTTCGCTTGGATTAATACCCCGTGATGCACAGTCCGCAGGGTTGTCGCGACCAGCTACGTGTCTCCATTGTGCATTAGGCAGCTGCGTCTGGATGTGAGCGACTCGATTGGCGACGAAAGTCTTCCAGCGTGAGGAGTGACCGCGAATCCACTGGAGAGTCACTGTTGAATCAGACCATAAGTATGTGTCTGATGTTGCCAGGTCGAGCGTTTGTTTGACATGTCGCATCAAATTGGTGAGTAGCGTGGCGGCGTACAACTCCAGCTTCGGCAAGATCACTTGTTTGACGGGTGCTACCTTGCTTTTGGCCATCAATAACCTTATTGACGTTTCGTTCCTTTCAGTGATGCGGATGTATACTGCGGCGGCATATTCTCGTTCGGATGCGTCGGCGAAGCCATGAAGCTGCAGCGTGGTCTTATCTGCTCCGGTCCCGAGCCAGCGTTTTATTCGCAACTGATCTAGAAGATGGAGTTCTTCTAGAAGACGTTGCCACTCTCGAGCTTCGGATGGCGGCAGCGGGGTGTCCCAGTCCAATCCTTGCAGCCACGTGGATTGGATGAAAATTTTTGCTCGAATCACGACTGGAGCGAGCCACCCCATTGGATCGAAGAGCCGTGCGGTTTCGGATAAAACCGTTCTCTTCGTGTGGTTGATGGCAGCGTGCGGATGAAACACGAAGGAGAACTGGTCGTGTTGCGGGTGCCAGCGGAGTCCTAGCGTGGAGTGGCTCTCTCCTTCCCAGGCTGGCGGCAATTGCTGCAAAAGATGATCGCTTGGTACTCCAGTCAGGATCCTCTCGTCGTTGGCTGCCCACTTCTTCAACGGAAATCCGCCCGCCAAGCAGAGGTTGCGAATTTCCGTCTGGAGTGCGATCGCATCGTTCAGCGTATTTGAGCCGGTGACCACATCGTCGACGTAACAGTCTCGACGCAGAGCTACGGCGCCACGAGGAAACTGCTCTTCTTCGTCTGTTGCGAGCTGACGGAGTGTCCGTATGGCGAGAAACGGAGCACACGCCAGACCGTAGGTGACCGTTCTCAGCTGGTACTCTCGCACTTCATCATCAGTTGAATGACGCCACAGGATCGTTTGGAATTTGCAGTCATCCGGATGCACGAGTATCTGCCGATACATTTTTTCTATATCAGCAACGAAGACATACTGGTGTTGACGCCATCGAAGTAATACGTCAGGAAGAGCTGGCAGATGATTTGCTCCAGTCATGAGGTGTGCATTTAATGAGTCTCCTGTTCGCGTTCGCTGCGACCCATTGAACACGACCCTCAGCTTCGTCGTGGCACTGGACTCCTTGAGTACTCCATGATGTGGTAAGTACGTTGACTGATTGCTAGTTGTGGAGCATGTCACCAGCGTCATATGTTTTAGGTCTTCGTATTCTTTCATGAAGTTGCGATACAGATTGCCGAATCGACGGTCCTGGACGCATCGCCTCTCCATCGTTGTAAGAAGCCGCTCAGCTGGTTTGCGGGTTTCGCGGAGTGCAGTGATTGGTAAGGAGAACGGCAGCTTCACCACATATCGTCCTGAAGAGGTGCGAGTGTGCGTGTGCACGAAGAATTCCTCGCATTGCTGCTCTTCGACGGAGAGTGTCGTGACTGCGTTGGGCTCCCGTTCCTGTTCCCAAAACTGCTGCACCAGCTCGAGTAGCTCGTGATCGGCAGTGCACTGGAATGTGCGACGGTGCTCTTCTGCGGATGCGACGTCGGAGCCTCCAGAGAGTATCCATCCTAGTGATGTCTTCTGCGCAATTGGCATCTGAGGTCCACCCTTGCGTAGACCCTCTTCAAGAATTAAGGAGCACACCTCTGCTCCCAGGAGTAGCTCGGCTGGATCGTCCTCGTGAAATTGAGGATCCGCCAGTTGGAGTCCTCGAATATGCGGCCAATCTTGTAGTGTGCTGGACGTGGAGCCTTGAAGAAGTGATAGGCGTGGCAATATAAACGCTATCACGGAGAGCCGGGCGTTCGTGATGTCCGAAGTGAGGTGCAGCGTGACCTTGCCACGCGTTGATCCTGGTCGTGCGCCTCCGATCCCAAAGATGGCCATGTCGGTGCGTGATCGAGGCAGGTTCAATCGTTGCACCAGTGCTTCAGAAACGATCGACACCTCTGATCCCTGGTCGATCAGTGCTCGGACGTCGTGCGGTGCTCCATGGCGATCGGCTATGTTCACCCGAGCAGTGGCGAGAAGTACAGCCTTCTGTTCCTTGGCTTTGTGCAGTGCGGCGAGTGAAGTGGCTTCTGCTGTATGTGCGGTGACCGTGTTGTATGCGTCGTGCAGTAAAGTGTGATGCCGTGCCTTGCATGTGTAGCAGTTCTTCTTCGACTGACATTTTGTGAGATAGTGATTTCCGAGGCAGTTGAAACACAGTCTGTGTGTCTCAACGAAGGCCTTTCGATCTGCAGCGGATTTCGTCTTGAATTCGCGACACGTCATCAGATGGTGCTTTTCATGGCACAGTGCGCATTGTGGAAGGTCAGTTCCGTGCTTCGCAACATGTGTCTTCGCCGTTCGTGAAGACTCTCCGAAGTTCTTCTTGAGAGTCTTCGGATGCACGGCGTTAAGTGTGAACATCCGTCGCGTCATGAAGTCCAACAGTGTTTCGTGCTGTGGTGACTTGTTGGAGTCGGATATGGAATTCTCCCATTCCATCCGAGTGTGTGCGTCGAATTGTTCGACGATCAGGTAGTTTAGGAGGTCCATTCCGTGAGATTCAATGGGACGACCTATACTTTCCTGTGCGTTGACGACTGTGACGGCAGCGTTATAGATGCGATGCAGTTCTTCAGCGGTTCCGTTCTTCATTCTCGGCACGGCGGTGAATGCGGCGAAGTTGCATCGGATGAGTTCTCTCTCGTTTTCATAGTGTTTGCACAGTATCGTCCATGCACGTTCGTAGTTGTCTCCTGTCACCGGTAATAAGCTTATCAATTTTTCAGCCTGTCTGTTCAAACTCGACCGAAGATGATGCAGGTGTTCGATATTAGAGATGGTGGCGTTATCACCGACGACAGACAGGAAGAGATCTCGGAAGGTTGGCCACTCGGAGTAAGCTCCCAAAAACTGCAGAATCCTGACCCGAGGTAATGCGGTTCGAGGAGCGGCTTCGTTTAACTTGACTGTCTCCGAGGCTGACCGAATGTGTTCAGCGTAGCCGTCCTGGATGCTCCTTTGCTGTACGTACGTATTTTCAGTCAAATCATGGAGTCCTGAAGTAACGTAATCACTTTCCCTGAACTTATTTTTCAGGGCAATGCGCAGCTGATCGTGCTGGATTACGAACTTATCCCAGGCTTGATCGAGAAGTCTGATGCGGGTAAGGACGGCACTGGATGTGATGTTAGGAGCGCCCATCTTCTTCAGGTATTCGACAGAGCGTGAGATTCGAACTTGGATCTCACGCTGACTATCTAATAATATAGCGGCATCCATGATGTGACACTCACTGTATTTCTTTTTCAGGCACTTCACTCTCGTCTTCAAGAACGTTCACACCCGTGCCGGCGCGACGAACTGATAATCCGTCTCGAAGGACCAAAAATATGTATGCGCGAACGCGTGAAGGAGAGCGTGTATTTGAAGGCCGAAAAGAATTGATCACCCTTTAAAAATAACACAGAGTTTACTTTAACACAATTTAGACGATACAGTAATTTTACAAAAGTTCCAATAGATAAGCCGAGATCGACTTCAAAGTGCGTGTGCGGTTAATAATTGCGGTAATTTTTAAGCGGTTTGACAGCGGTTGTACGTACTAAGACTCGAGAGACTAGCTGCGCAATTTTTGTGGGCGCTTCCTTTATCGGTGCGGTACTGAAGCCCCACTAATTTATACTTCACCAATTAATTTCGTTTGTTTAAAAATGTTCGAAGGTGACGCGAGGGCGCCTGTCTTTATTGGCCGCCCCGTAATTTACGCGAAACAAGCACGCACCTGACATGCGTGAAACGCTCGATAGCGGGATCGATTGGCTTTCGGAAGCCACGTGATCGAACGGCGCATGTCTATTACATCGATAATCAATACGGTAATCGTTGCTTTCGGTTGAGCAATGTTGTTATTATTGACAGCTTGTTAGGATAATCCTGATTTATCGCCTACTTGTTTATATCGGGCGAGCCCTTTTTTCCGCGATTTTTTTCGCATATTCATGTAAGAAAATATCGATTTTTAGACTGAAATTATAGACTTAAACAATTATATTAATTTTCTTCTCAATTTCGAACAAATATAATATATTAATATAATATATATTAATATAATATAATATATATTAAAATTATATATATATCTATTTATATTAATATAATATATTTTAAATTAATTATATTAATTAATATATAATTAATATAATTAATGGTTTTGGACAGGGAGTATAATCACAATTCATTTAATTACAATTACAATTTTAAAAAAATCCGATAAATAGAATAACAAAATTAATATAATCGATTTCTGAAATAAATCAAACATCTTTGATTGAAGAAGATAATAATCAATAATTAATCATAAATATTAAATTACACATTTCAAGAATATTTTAAACTTTTACAATTACAAATTTAAAGAATGTGATTGTTATAGTGAAAATATATTTAAATGGATTTTAGTCGATAAATTATTTTAAAGTGACCAAAAATTTTACTAAAAATTTAAAATATATAAATAGACATAAAATAGAAATAAATTGTAATTATATTGTAATTATATTGTAAGTATGTGGACATATAGTATGTATGTGTGTGTGTATCCGAATTATATCATGAAGGAAGAAACGAAGATGAGGGAATTAAGGATGAAAGCTATGATGAGAGCCATTAAATATGAAGAAACAGCGAGGAATACAGAAAAGAAGCTTGTAGTAGAATGCATAAAAGAACTAGAAAAAGAGATAAAAAATAGGGAGTAAAGCAAATGGGAAAAAAGGAGAAAAGAAGTGTTGGAGGAGACTGAAATATGCAAGGAGGAATTGAAGGAAAAGAGAAAAAAGGAAGAAACAAAAAAGATAGTACAGGAAATGATGGAAGGAATAGCAAGAAAAGAAGAGAAAATAAGAAGAAAGAGGATAGATGAATCTAAGTTGAAATATATTAGGAGACGCGGTAGTGTCTCCGGCCATGTTCAAACCTTAAAAGACCTTAAAAGACACTACAAGTCTCCTGATCCTGCACCATCAAAGTCCATTTTTTGGGGGTGTAGAACTACTAAAATATAAAAAATTTTGAATTGCACGTAATATAACCTGAAAGGCGGCATCGCCACGAGTAATTTGAGCCAAGAAAAAATAAAATCGGTCAAGCCGTTCTGGAGATACAAGCGGTCAAAAAGTGACGTTTTTCATGAAAAATGAAGTAACGTCGTCTTCTTCTTCTTTTTCTTCTTCTTCTTTTTCTTCTTTTTCTTCTCTGTCCGCGTCCGCTGACGTCATCAGGATTATATATATCCTAAAAAAATCATAAAAATGAAAAGGTCAGGCCATGTTCAAAAGAAGGTACTCAAAAATTTAAACGATCTAATAATAAATTATCACGAAAAGTAACTGATATGTTATTCAAGGTGCCAGTTCAAAGTGAACATACGTAAAGTGTATATTATCTAAATTTAGTAATAATATATATTACCATGAAAAGTAACTGTGATATTTTATTCAAGGTGCAAGTTCACATTGAATATACATACATATAAGTAAAACTGATTACAATTTGATTCTAGAAAATAAGTGCGATATGTTATTCTTAGTGCACAAAATATAATAGTCGTTTATAGAGATTTGATTTGAAATTCATACTAGCCCGTACAATGAAAAATAATTGCTCGTAATTCCAGAGTACCAATTTGTTAATGACTCAGAAAAATAACATGGCGGCCTGCTCTCAAAAAACTATGATGTTTCTCGATGTCCATTTAGAAATAATGTCAAAGCTCTTACAGAATAATTATTACAACATTTGAAATACGAAAAGTATTACATTAGAAGAAGATTAGATTAGAATAAGGATTCAACGTATTTTTAAAAGCTCTACACACAACGAAGTGAATATACAAAACTATATACAAATACCTTTTTCTTCTGTGTTTCTGAAGAAAATTGTAAGTCAAATGAAACCTTGCACTTTGAGAACCATGTCACTTACTTTTCAGAGTCAAATTGATAAATTTTTTTTGTATATTTTAATGATATTTATTTCTCACTTGTATCTTGAATAATTAATATGTAATTTTTTATTGTATATTACGACAAATAATCAGTAAACTTTTTAAGCGTATAGCTTTATTGTAGTTGACCTGAGAACTGTACATTTATAAATTTTACTTAATATACACCCGTTTCGAGCAACAAGGCAAAGTTTTCTGATCAATAACTTACTCCCTGAAAATACGGTATAACACAAATCGGAAGTTGATACGAAAATTCGAAATTTTACTAAAGAAAGATTGGAGGTTTTTAATTTATACAATTTTCACAACTCTTATTTCAATTATTTATTCTACCCATCGAAAGTTTTTTGAGAGCAGGCCGCCATGTTATTTTTCTGAGTCATTAACAAATTGGTACTTTGGAATTACGAGCAATTATTTTTCATTGTACGGGCTAGTATGAATTTCAAATCAAATTTCTATAAACGACTATTATATTTTGTGCACTAAAATAACATATCGCACTTATTTTCTAGAATCAAATTGTAATCAGTTTTACTTATATGTATGTATATTCAATGTGAACTTGCACCTTGAATAAAATATCACAGTTACTTTTCATGGTAATATATTATTACTAAATTTAGATAATATACACTTTACGTATGTTCACTTTGAACTGGCACCTTGAATAACATATCAGTTACTTTTCGTGATAATTTATTATTAGATCGTTTAAATTTTTGAGTACCTTCTTTTGAACATGGCCTGACCTTTTCATTTTTATGATTTTTTTAGGATATCACTTACTTTTTAAAGTACAGATATATAGAGCAGCTTTCTAGTAATTCAAGTATCACAAATATATGTATTTTCGATTCTTATCACATAACTTTGTATAAGTAACAATTTATGCAATACAGTTCAAAATAATTGAAATATATGGTATATATGTACATATATAAATATATAATTATATTATAGTATACATATATATTTTATTTAATCATATATGTAAATGTTTGTATAATTGTAATAACTTTTAACGATACATTGCACATTTATTTAATTGCAACAGAATGAATTTATATTCTTGTATGAATATTGAAAATAAAGAATGGGCCCCTCCATCGCCCATTCTCGTGAGAACGCAACCATATATTTTTCTTCGTCTCTCCGATTTTAACACGACATACATATTTCTGTCTGATAATTTTTTCTTGATGATACTTTTTGAAATGTCATGAAGCCTAGGTCAAATTAGAAACTTATTGCACTCGTTTTAATGCAGCGCTTACAGCAGCTTTTATAAAGCGCCAGAGCAGCCGATATTTTATTTTGGCGCTTACGGCAACTTTTATACAGCGCTAGAACAGTTGATGTTTTAATGTAGCGTTTACGGCAGCCTTTATACAGCGCCATTATTTAATCTGTTCTAAGAACAATATGTATGCCCTTTGTGCTCCTTTGGGCCATTTTTTTTTGAACACTTCCATATCATTAGAGTAATACCATTCCGATTTTGTGTCAGCTCTCAACATACACGTGTAGTGACCACGATTCATTTCTTCACCTTCGTGAAATATAGCGCTTATTAGCTTGTACTTTTTTTTATTAATCGTGATATTACTCGTCGGCACGGCGGTAATCCGATTGTTGATAATTT